ATATATATATATATATATATATATATATATATATATATAACACGCACACGCACACGCAGTAACTAACATGCACCATGAATAATATAACAGGATTATTGAAACCTTCAGCGACCATACATTCTCTAAGTTACTCACCATGGTATTTCACATTTATTTGCTAGATTCACGTTTTTAGCTCAGCTGATGAAGTCGGATGCAGCTTGTAGAATCGCATGAATGTCCGTCCGTCCGTCCGTGCGTCCGTCCGTCCGGCCGTCCGTCCGTTTGTCCGTCCGTGTGTCAACAGTTAGGGCACAAATCTTTACCGCTCGACGTACGGTCTTGATATTCGGGACATCGGGGGGGATCGCGAAAAGGACTCAGCATGTCGAATTTGGGGGTCAAGGGTCAAAGGTCAAGATGTGTCAATGGAGGGGGAATATTTCCCCCTTAACTTAAGGTATAGGAGGAAATACGGAATTGCGGCACAAATCTCAACGGCTTGACCTACGTACGCTCTTAATATTCGATGTATAGTGTGATGGGAAGGAAACTTTTTTGTTAATGGATAGATAGATAGTTAGATTTTTTTGGGCTATTTTCCTTTCAACCAAGCGGTCACCAGCTGAGTAACGCCTCTGGTAACGCCACTGATTTCCCCGGGCAACGCCGGGTATCCCGCTAGTATACAACACATATATACAACACATATATATACAACACATGAGTAGCTGACTTGTTAGTTCCACTGCCGATGTGGCGTTACCGTTAGTGGTTACCGTTACCGTGATACAGCAACAATTTGTTCGAGGCATTTTGAAGAAAGCTGCTTTAGGTCAGGTACGGCCATGCAGTGTATTTCTTGGGTTTATTCTTGGTAATTAATCCCTTGTGAATTTTATATATACAATCATCTCTTTAGAATAATAATAATTATAAAGAATAGAAAACCCTATAGGCTATATCGGTGTCCGGTCCACTCGGCCCACCTGCCAACTCGCCCCCGCAGTTGGGCGAGTTGACGCGTCTGGAGATCGGTAAGCTCGGTTCGTGGGATGAGTTGACGCGTCTGGAGATCGGTGAGCTCGCCTCGCAGGCTAACTCGTGAGATGTTTCACACGCCCCAACTCTAATATCCCGCGAACGATTTGAGTTACATTTCTAAAATTCTAGATACATATAAACACATGTCTTAGCTATGGTTTCTGTGAATTTTGAGTATATTAAAGCACATAATATTTTATAAACACATGTCTTAGCTATGGTTTCTGTGAATTTTGAAGCACGAAAAGTTTAATTAATTACTAGAAATATACGTAAGCGCGGTATCGTCATAGGCTAATATACGCGCGGTATCGTCATAGGCTAATATACGCGCGGTATTGTCATAGGCTAATATCTCGGGAACGATTTGAGTTACATTTCTCTCAGCACAAGTTTCTGTCTGTCATGTCTGTGCCTTGTACCAACTTACTAATACATAGTGGTTAGAGCTAACCTTAGTCTAAGCTAGATAACTAGTGAACGTGACAGTGTCTTGTGTTAATTCTCTTATGTTAGTTGTATAGTATTTTATTGACCTCTTACCATTTTTGCCCTCTAGGGCATATTACTGCAAGCTTCAGTATTTATTCACAGCACCATAGAGCATCAGCATCAGCATGGCAGCATCAGTATCAGCATCAGCATGGCAGCATGGCAGCATCAGCACCAGCATGACAGCATCAGCATGACACTTATTTTAAAAAAATGAGATGGACAGGGCAGTGACGTAAACAACGCAGGAAAGATACGCGCGTGACGCACGGCACGCGCCGCGATTAGTCACCGCACACAAATCTGTTTAACTACAATACGCAGACAAGATCTCGTTTGCAATCAATTAGCATATCCAGGAACTGGCTACAAGTCAGTTGTATGTACTGTATATAATCATGGTTCTGGAAATAAAGCATTATAAAAAAAAAAAAGTTATATTAATTATATAATATATTTCTCCCATAAAAATCACTGGCCATCATCTCATAGGCTGTGATGTGATAACGTAGGGGAATATAATGTGAAATTATCAGTGCGTGTGTGCCTGCATGCGTGCATGCTCACGTGTATGCTCACTTGAAGGTAAAAATTTGAGATAGGCCTAGACCTCAAAGGCGTATTAATTTGCTGAAAGGAGGTCAGAATTTAATCATTTAAACTGTGATTATGGAAAACTAATTGATGGTTTATAATTTATTGTCTGTTATACTATGAACATAAATAAACTGCCATATATAATAATTGTACATTAAACAATGGTTAAGGTTATTCTTAAACTTTAAAAAGTTTCAATGAATAGTATTAGAATAGAGACATTGTATACCGTGTTTAAAAGAGAGTAATATAATTCCAGGCTGTGCATTTACAACAGAATTGGGTCACTGTATTGAAAAACTGAAGAATTCATATGAAAATTAGGTGTCAGATCTTCACGCAACAAAATTCTGTATGAAAGCAATGTTCCTTTTTAATTTTAATGCATTTCAAGACAACGTTCTGTTTGTCTACCTATTACTGTATTAAAACATTCTATTAGCTAGCTAATAAGAACTGGTGACAAAATGGCGCTAGCCTGACACGGTAGGCTGCGCACTCGCGAGTATTCGTGGTGGGGCAGTGATGCTAAACTCGCTGTGAAAAGCTTCTTGTATGATGTTCTGCAAGGTGTTTTGCATGACTTCCTCAGTGAGGATCAGTGGGCAGGTACCCACCTGCCCTACTGCTGCATCAACAGCGCTCGTCGCCTGTTGGAGAAAAATGGAAGCTTGTTACACAAATAATGCAGGTGCCCGGAAATAATAGCTATGCACAGACGAAGACTATGCTATAACACTTGAGATTTGCTTACAGGAAAGTAATGCACTATCCACGTACAGGAAGTCAACACAGGATTTGCTTACAGGAGCCTCGTACAGAAAATTAACATGAAACTTTGCACGGGCTTTGCACTTGCCTGTATATGTGTGGCTTTGCTAGACTTTGTGCATGTCCTGGAAGAATTTATCTGCACGGTATCAGACTTGTGGTCTGACCTGTCACTTTGAAGTTGGACGTAATAGGGCACTCTCTCGTTGCTAACGAGTGTCAGGGCTTCGTGAAAGGTAGCATCCTCAACCAAGTTGCTGAGCATATAATGATATGCATTACCATTTATATGTATATATACGTATTATACTATAGTACATATATATATATATTTAACACGCACCACGCACACGCGAGTAACTAACATGCCACATGAATATATACAGGATTATTGAAACCTCAGCGACCATACATTCTCTAAGTTATCTCCATGGTATTTCACATTATTTGCTAGATTCACGTTTTAGCCTCAGCTGATGAAGTCGGATGCAGCTTGTAGAATCGCATGAATGTCCGTCCGTCCGGCCGTCCGTCCGTTTGTCCGTCCGTGTGTCAACAGTTAGGGCACAAATCTTTACCGCTCGACGTCTACGGTCTTGATATTCGGACATCGGGGGGATCGCGAAAAGGATTCAGCATGTCGAATTTGGGGGGAGAGGGGGTCAGGGTCCAAAGGTCAAGAGTGTGCTCAATGCGAGGGGAATATTTCCCCCTTAAGTTTAAGTATAGGAGGAAATACGGGAATTGCGGCACCAAATCTCCAACGGCTTGACCTACGCTCTTAATATTCGATGTATAGTGTGATGGGAAGGAAACTTTTTTGTTTCAGCGCTGGAAATACGGAATTGCGGCACAAATCTCAACGGCTTGACCTACGCTCTTAATATTCGATGTATAGTGTGATGGGAAGGAATTAAACTTGTTTGTTTCAGCGCTGACCTACCATTTTTATCACTTTATTGAAAGGACCATGAAATGTACGTTCCACTGAAGTGCGAAGAGTAAGTGTCTGATAACCTTTTGACCCTCAAGAGGAGGGTTAAACATGGATTTGTTGACTGTTGACTGTTGACATGTTAATATAGCGAAGTAATTAAAGTTACAAGCTGTATCCTTATTACTACCGGTATAGCAAAGCCTATCATCGATTTTAGATCTGTATTAGTAGTATCCTAGATATATGCTCTGAGCGCGGTGGCGGGAGAGCGAACTTGATTCGGTTGCCAGTGATTTTATCAGAAGTGTACCCGGCTACAGTACACGTCAGTTGAGCGCTGTCGCTCTGCGGCACTTGTTTAACGTATATCTAAACACAGGGCATTGCCAATTTCATGGCACTGAAGAATATATTTAAGAAAAGAAAGTGGATAAGTGAAGTGAGAACAGTACTCAGAGGGCGAATAGTTTTTAGAGAATGCCACACATTTGAAATAAATGGTCTCATACGTGATGCGAAACAACTTTTGCACGAATTTTTGGCACTACGTACAATATGATGTTGTCCAGGACGTCAGCTAGGAGTCGTTGCTCAGTGCTACTGAGGTCGGCCAGGGATGAACGCTGCATGGCCGTGTCAAAATCATCGTTTACTGGCAGTCTGAAACATCATTATTAGTCGTGTTGCTTTGCAAGTTAGCAGAGGATCCTAAAACTGAAGAGCTCTTCTGACCTGATTGGTTCACCTATCGTAAGTTTTACCGGCTATATTTCTCCTCGACAGCAGTAGCGGTTTGGCAGTCTTCAATTCTCAACAAAGAATCGTAAATGGAATTCGAGCAGATTACACCTGAGAGGTTTTTCTGGTGATATGTACACATTGCCGCTCAGACGGGAAACAAAACGGGACCCTAGTGGGTCTTTGTTTAAACGGTATGCCCCCAATAGACTATTTTCTTACTTTTTTAGGAAGCTACTGCTTATCTTCTGTGGAAACTGTCTTCTGAAGGAGACCAAGCTGTGCACACTTGCAGTAACACCGAGGTGAACAATAGAAGGAGCCGGTGGATGTGGTATGCTTTTAAGCATCTCTCGAGCCTCTGGCGTATCCTCCATAGTCAGTCTAGCCAGCTCTTTCACTGCCTCTGTGTGCACACTACTTGCTATTGGAGGCAGGGCCTAAAATAACCCAGTAGCAATAGCTACATTAATTTAATATATGATCATCCTATACGTTGGCCAGCAGAGATATCGCACAAATAAATAATGATTAGTAAATATAATGCCAATCTATTGTTGTCCGTTATAATGCTGAGAAAATAAAAGTATATACTTTGTATGGACTGAATTCTACTTCCGGGGACTCCCTGCCTAGTGGTCTCAGCTTGCTCGCTGACTGTGATTTCTGGAAAAAATCCTTATCTTATAATCTTTATTAGCACAACAGGCTGGAATTAAATAATAAAGACAACAGAGATCAAAATAGTTCTATAAGTAACATTCGAAATTTTCTGTGTAGTAAATAAAGGAAAAACAATGATTTACTCCTTTCTTCGATGCTATGCCACTTGAGTTATCTGTGATAGTGAATTCAGACTCTTTTGTTCTAACTGTCGCTGCCCACGCATCCAGTTTCTGCTCGTACAAAGCCATCGCTGTTTCATCTTGAACCTATACATGCATAAACATCTCGTTTTACACGTATGAGGTATCATAATGCTTGAGCCCAATTTCCAACACTAGGAGTTAATGAAAACAATCATAACAATTCATGGCAAGTGATATATGTAATTGGTTTATTTGTAGTATATCAGCAGGTCCTACCTCACATACGATGTCAATATCATGTAAGGCAGGCACGTCTGTTGCAGTGAAGGTCACCGTGCATAGCCGGCACTCACCCTGTTTCAACATGGCCTCCGCTGGTGATATTGCGATGAACTGAGGAATAACAAATATATGCACAGACTTTCCAATTTCCAACTAGCAGAATCTACGAGCAGTTAATATCACTAATGATGTTTGCATACAGTTTAAGTGACAATATGCAAATTGCATCAATGGAAGCTAGGTTTCTTGAGCATAAATGCTTGTCTGATGTCCTTGAAGCCAGAAAAAACTGTTTACATATAACTGTAATTTAACATTTACAAGTAAATGTCTGTCTACCTTGTTCAGCTCTGGAGACAGGAGCCACCGAAATGACATGCAATGGTTAACAGACGAGTTGGTGACAAAGAGCAAACGATGTTCCTGACTGAACAGCGGCATGTCTCCAAACAGCAACTTCTCAGTTGACATCTGCAGAACCTGCAATGTGGTACGTTTCTTTCCTACTCATAAGGATTAATGAAATACGAAATGTTACGAAAGAGCGACTGTTCTTGGCTGTTATCAAAACATCAAAGTACTTATATGATTCACACATCACTCACAATTATAGATGACAACGTTTCTTTTAGCAAAAAGATTTTTTTTACTTTATAATATTATTTATTTATATTTATTAATTCACAATAATAAAACTGGCAGCATTAATTCGAATAAGGCGTTGACACACGATTAAAGGTAACCTGGAATGTGTTTACACTGAAACACACACTGCTTGATGCCTATAGCTTACCTGCTTGGACAAGGAATTGTTTTCCTCATACAATGGGTACAGGTTGAGATCACACAAATTTGGGCACGTTTCAACATAACCTGTTCCTGAGAAGGTGATAACTGTAGTTTCTCCTCCTTCAACATGGATTGCTACTCCAACCTGCCACACAGCATATATATTAGCCTTTACTAAAACACACACACACACACACACACACACACACACACACACACACACACATACATACATACATACATATATATATATACTGTTAGTCGTGCTTCAATATAGGCCCTACTCAAAATTCACAGAAACCATAGCTAAGACATGTGTTTATATGTAGGCCTATCTATAATTTTAGAAATGTAACTCAAATCGTTCGCGAGATATTAGAGTTATATAGTACACTTTCCTACTGCCCATAGCCGCGCGTATATTAGCCTATGACGATACCACGCGTACGTATATTTCTGGTGATTAATTAAACTATTCGTGCTTCAATAAACTCCAAATTTACAGAAGCCATAGCTAAGACATGTGTTTAATGTATCTAGAATTTTAGAAATGTAACTCAAATAGTTCGCGAGATAATAGAGTTAGTACACGAGTTAGCCGGCGAGGCGAGCTCACCGATCTCCAGGAGGGCCAACTCATCCCACGAGCCGAGCTCACCGATCTCCACACGCGTCAACTCGCCACACGGACCGAGTTGGCTGGTGGACCGAGTTTACACGTGAGCGGCTATATCATATGTACTGGCCTTCTACGTAATATTCTTTGTACATAACTTAATATTTATACACCTTCCCTAATAATTAATACATATATATGTCTAAGTCTAACCATCTTGTAATAATATCGGGAAAGTAGGAAAACTAAATGCACTCTACTAATTAATTTTATAACTAAAATATGTTATTCGTGTGATATTTAAATTTAAAAAATTGTTTGGTTGGGTCTCACCAGACATATCGTATGCCACTTATGTTTTATGTACAAACGTGTATAACACTGATACATGTAATGATGTATTATATACCTGGTCTAACAGCATACGCTAGCCAATAATTATTTAATAATTTTTCAGGTCCCACAGGGAAGATTTTAAACGTAGGAAGCATACCTACGGAATATATGCCACATCGAACTGTTGATCGACAGCGAAGCCAGTTGCTCGGAAGGCACCTGTAGTGTAGTGCATGCACATATTTTAATGTAATGATTAAAAATGTAGCACATCATTTACTAAACCTCATACGAGACCAGTATGATAATGTAATTATAACTTGTCCAGTTTATATGCTACGTATTTTGTGCTTTAATTGTTTGCTTTATTTTTAGACACTGGGATCACCCCCACCGGCTACTGTGGAGCAAGTGGCTTATTATTCCTTGGCTGAAGTAAGGAGGGCAGCCTGTGCGGTTAAGCTACCTTGGATGGTTGTGGAAAAACCAAATGTTGTCACCTTCATCTGCATGGACCTTGCCCAGGCTTCACTTCACATCCAGCGGTGTGTCAACATATACAGTGATCTATCCACCGAGGTGGAAGTGCTAGGTATACCTGCTCCACGCCTCCAGTCATCGGTCGAAAAGATATCTCTAAAAAAGCTGGAAAGCCTCTATCGGTGTCCTGAGATAAGTGACCCTAACCTTCAAAATTATGCTGAGCTTCCAACCATCGGAAATACGTATTATCGACATTGAGCTTACCGCGAGTTTGAAAGAGCTGGAATATAAGAATGTATGTATATATCATATATGTAAAATGTTTAGCTTGACGATGTCAAGGGGAGCTAAAAATGCACGATGTAGGTATTGATATCCATTTACTAATTACAGACTACATTCGCACGTTCACCTGGGACAAGAGGCTAGAGATGGTGGTCAAGGCTTCAGGCATCCTTGGAGGGCAGGGGAAGATGCCTACCGTTGTCTCCCCAGAGCTTTATCGCACATGGTTTTGCGAAGCCATGGAGCAATACTTTTTGTGTGCGCCAGACCTTCTGGTTGGGTCACACGATCTTAACATTTCTGTGTTCACTCGTCTAACATGGGTTCTGGTGGTTCACACGTCTTAACATGGGTTCTTGGGTCACACATCTTAACATGAGTCTGTGGTCCACATCTTAGACAGTAGGTTCTGGTGGGTCGACACATCTTAACGATGGTTCTGGTGGGTCACTCGTCTTTAACATGGGTTCTGGGTGGGTCACACATCTTAACATGGGTTCTGGTGGGTCACACATCTTAACATGAGTTCTGGTGGGTCACACCATGGCTCTAACATAGGTTCTGGTGGGGTCACACAATCTTAACCATCGGGTTCTGGTGGGTCACATCGTCTTGAGAATGGGTTCTGGTGGGTCACACATCTTAACATGGGTTCTGGTGGGTCACACATCTTAACATGAGTTCTGGTGGGTCACACATCTTAACATAGGTTCTGGTGGGTCACACATCTTAACATGAGTTCTGGTGGTCCACACATCTTATAAGGGTTCTGGTGGCCAACACATCTACAGAGTTCTGGTGGCTCGCCACACATCTTAACATAGGTTCTGGTGGGTCACACATCTTAACATGGGTTCTGGTGGGTCACTCGTCTTAACATGGGTTCTGGTGGGTCACACATCTTAACATGGGTTCTGGTGGGTCACACATCTTAACATGAGTTCTGGTGGGTCACACCATCTTAATCAATGAGGTTTCTGGTGTGTCCACACATATTAAACATGAGTCTGGTGGTCCACACATCTTAAGCATGTAGTTCTGTGTCCACACACTCTTAACAAGGTTCTGGTGGTCCACACATCTTAACATGAGTCTGGTGGTCCACACATCTTAACATGGTTCTGGTGGGTCACACATCTTAACATGAGTTCTGGTGGTCCACACATCTTAACATGAGTTCTGGTGGTCCACACATCTTAACATGAGTTCCTGGTTGGTCCACACATCTTACACATAGAGTTGCTGGTGTAGTCCAAGCTACATCTAACATGGGTTTCTGGTGGGTCACACATCTTAACATGGGTTCTGGTGGGTCACACATCTTAACATAGGTTCTGGTGGGTCACACATCTTAACATGGGTTCTGGTGGGTCACACATTTAGAATAGGTTCTGGACTGGGTCACACATCCTTACCATGAAGTTCTGTCGTGTCACAACATCTTAACATGGGTTTCTGGTGGTCACAGCATCTTATACTGAGTTCTGCGTGGTCCACAACTCTTAACAAATAGGTTCTGGTGGTCCACTCTTCAACATGATTCTGGTGGTTCTAACATCTATAATATGAGTTATGCGTGGTCCACCGTACGCATTCTTACATGAGCAACGTGTGGTTCCACACATCGCTAACATGGGTTTCTAACGTAGATCTTACTGCTCGTCTTAAGCACCGCGATTCAACAACTAACAGGATAGTATATAATAAGATAGTCGAGCCACGGCATCTGCCCGCAGGCATACCACAC